TACAAGGTACCACCACACAAAGCCATCTTCTAGAAACACAAAGATTACTCCAAGATGGAGAAAGGAACCACCATTCTTCATGTTTAAGAGAAAGCATAAAGCCATTCAATCCCAATTTCGACATATGCAGAAAACTGAGGATGGGTTTTAAAAAGGCAAGCTTTATTTGCAATCCTGTTGACCGTAACAGATCACGTGTAGCCTGTAGGATGGAAGCCCTCTCTCCTCCCAACTCCACCCTAAATCTTGGATACAAGATAAGAGTCTGGAAAAACACAGCTGCCTTCATAAATCTAAGCCAATGGATATCCAGCCACCTTGAGCAATATATAACGGAAGCCCCTGGTGTTCCAGTCTATAGAGAAAAAGCATAGATGCCTAATGCAGACCATCTGTTACACTGTAGTGTGTAGATGCCGTTTTCTTTTACTCAATGATTCACAAAAAGGTAAGCTGTAAAATTAGCTTTCTTGGAGAAGCAGTATCAATTGCAGCAAGCATATTGCCTAATCTAATTAAGGTGATCAACCTGGACTGCATGCCAATGCAGAATATAAGAGGGATTCATACAACAAAATGCTAATACAAAACACTGATGCACACAGAAAATTAGCTTAACCGGGGAATTCTTCTACATTTCTTCAATGTACTGCTTTTCAACATTCTGCACATACATTCATTTGATTTTCTATATATATGAAGGAAAACTCAGTGTTACAGAGGATAGTAATCCCCAGGAATCAGTTCTTTGAAGGAAGTGTTTTGGGAAAGAATTTAAAAAAGCAAGTTGGAAATTTTAAGACTAAATTCATGAGTTCAGCTTTATTACAGGTAGTCTTCATTTAATGACCACAACTGAGACTGGCACTAAGTAAAGCAGTCACTAAGTAGGAAACCGTGTGACTAAAATTGTGTTTTCCTTCTCTCTCTCTCTCTCCCCCTCTTTGGGATGTTTACCCTGATGCTAGGGTAGTGGCTGGAAACTGAAAAGACTAATCAGTTTCAAATCTTAGGCTTTTGTTTACCTCCTATTCAATTCCACTGCTCTTTGGACTATTCCCCCTAGTGCTAGAATAATTAACACGAATAGAATTAATGTTTGTATTTACATTCATTGAGAAAGAGATTACAAGAGAGTAAAAAGGCACATAATAGGAATACACTGGTCTGTTTGGATAGCACAATTGTGGCTGCCTGTGCTTTTGATGTATATTCCCCACTGTGTACCTGCTGACTCTCTTGTAATCCTTTTTCTCCAATCTCTGCTCTGCAAGAAGGGAAAAAATGAAAATCAGGTCAGGCATAGGCCAACATGTACTGTATAGTGGTGATTACATGACTGAGGAATGCTGCAAAAGTTGTAAATGCCGACGTTGGTTGGAAAGCTATTTTTTCAACACGTAATTTTGAACAGTTGCCAAACAAAGCCGTTGATAAGCAAGGACTACCTATACCATCAATAATTTTGAGAAAAATGGCAAGGCTTCTTATCCCAGTTTCATCTGTAGTGAGGCTAAACTTTTGTTTCAAGTCCAAATGCAATATAACTATACCAATGATTTAAATCAGAAAGCTGTGTCTGACCGCTACATTTCACCCACTTGCCTGACAATTGCTCTACCGCTAGCAATGCAGACTCTTTTGCTCCTAATGCTCTAGTAGCAGCAAAATCAATTAACACTGAGAAAGTTATATTTTCCAATGTATTTGGATATCATCATAATGTCAGATATTTGTGGTAGATAAGGAGAAGAATCTTTCCCTAAGACAGTGATGGCGAACCTTTTAGAGACCGAGTGCCCAAACTGCAACCCAAAACCCACTTATTTATCGCAAAGTGCCAGGGCTGCATCACCATTGTTGTGCCCTCAGGGAGGGGCGGGGGGTGTGGCCCACTGGGTGGGCATGGCTGCAGTGGTCACAGCAGACTGGGTGAGTGTGGCGCCAGTCCCTCGCCATCTCTAGGGCATCCCCAGGGGGCCAACACCGTTTGCTCGCTCACTTCCTGCCCTGCCGCTTCCAAACGCCACGTGCTCGCTACTCTGGTGAATTCTGCTGGGGCAATGGCTTGTGTGCCCACAGAGAGGGCTCTGAGTGCCACCTGTGGCACGCGTGCCATAGGTTCGCCACCACTGCCCTAAGAGACAGAAGCAAAGGAATCTGGTAGAAAGCTGGAAAATGGGTAGATGATGGAAAGATTCAGGGGCTCTAATGCTTGTTTTTTTTTTTAAGAGGTGAGTCTTATCACCTATAGTATTTTATGCAAAAAAAAAATAAATGGGAGGAAAACAGACATTGCCAATTTAACTGACCTAACCCATTACAATAGAAAAGCACTATATCTTCAAGTATTTCCTTCTGATTTGAAAATGTGAGTTGTTCCTGTGACTTTTCCTGTTTTTTCTATTATAAGGTCTTCCTATGCACCACAATTTTATTCAATGACACTACCTTTTTTGAGATGAAAGAAATTTGACAAATTAGCAATAAAGTAATTTTCCTAAGTTGCATTCTCAAAACAAATTGAAGACGGTAGATGTACTTAAAACATGCCCAAGCAACACAACACATCCATCATACATGTTCATTTTAGATTTTAAAAAACCTTTTATAAAAAGGCAACATTGTAGACTTACTTCATCTGCAGGCAACTGATCTTTAAACTCTTCCATCTTGGATTCTGTGTCGTGGATTATTCCTTCTGCCATGTTTACAGCTTCAACGCGTTCCTGAAGAAAACAGTAACTTTGTAAGACAGAACATAAAAGCCAATTTGTACTACCTAAGCATCCTACCAACAAGACATTTATTTAATGTTTTGCACAATGGATAAACTCCTGAAAGGCAAACCAAAACTAGATAAACATGGCAAACGCACATTCCATTGATGGAAATGTTTGCATACTACCAACTTTACCAACAGTAGTTATTTTCTATAACTGCAGAATTGGGGGGGGGGGGGAGGCCTTCTGTTTTGAAATTAAGGACAACCCAGGAAAAGAATTTTTCAAGAATTTCATTTTTGGGAGCAAGTATGTATTTTCATATTATTTTATATTATCACAGAAAGCATTAAAATTTCTGGTAGGTGTAAAAGATATTTTGGCCATTTTATTTTTTAAAAAAAGTCCTGGAATAAGTTAGATGTCATTAATTGGAAGAACGTATATTATTTTTGCTTTGTATGGTTAAACATTAAGGATAAAGTTGGGAGTATAAAATAAAAGGCCAAAAAAATGTTTTTAGGAGAAAACCCATCCTAACTTGCATGAAAAATAGCACCAATTTCTTCTGTTCCTTGTCTGATTCACACTGTCACTTTTCTTTTTAAAAGCAGTGACTATAGCAACCCAGTTTGTAATTTGTGTTGCATTCAGCATCTGCATAAAAAAAGATATGAACTGAAAGCAGTTCCAGACCCCTGAAAGAATATTTCAAAAGGATGGATATTAGTTTTTTTCATGTTGTTATAATCAGAAATTTGAAGGCTCTTTAAGTCACATGATTTAGTTTTGTCGACATATTGCTTTGTTCCGGTTTCAAAATACTATATACGTCAATGCAATTTGAGGGAGAAATATTATAGCTAAGGAGCTCGATGTGATGCTGAACTATATTCTTAAAGCATGGAATTTGCCATGAGTAATACTGGCTCTGGGATGCCAGGCATGACAAAGATTAATTTTACGTAAATAGAATTTTACCTTCCTGATTTGATGGACTTTTTTTGTTAGTTTTCATTTTTCATTTGTAACTTTCAGATTATTTTAATATCTTTCTTCTCTATACAATTATTTCACCATTTAAAAAAGAACATTCTAAAAAAAGCCAAGCTAATGGAAACCAGTGTTCTTAATTAGTACAAATGCAGTGCAGATGATGTTAGCACAGAAACCAATCTCCATGCTGCCCAGAGGTGACTTTTATTTGAAATAAATTTCAGGCCAATAAGCTAGAAACCATCCTGGCAACATTACCTTTTTCCGCCTGTCTTCTTCTGCATATTTTTCTGCATTTTTTACCATGTTTTCAATATCATCTTTACTAAGACCACCGGAAGACTGGATGACAACTACAGGAAAGTAAAAGAATTTCCTTTTTAAAGAACGCTGTCTTTGAACTCAACATGCAACACGCAGCAGGATTGCAACATTTCATACAAAAGGATTACAACCATACCTGGGAAAGATTTTATATCAGGAAAACATCAAGTTTGGGAATGCTACTCTAGGTTGACTAAACCAGTCTATATTAACGACAATCTGGGCTCCCACTTAAATCTGTTTTTACTGGACCACTGCTTCTCAACCTTTTCTTCACCATGGACGTCCTTTAAGTACACTTTATGGCCACGGACCACCAAACTTATTTAAATCATAACGTTTCTTCAAGCCTTAGCGGATTCTGTGACATTGCAACCCCCACTAGACAATATTCCTGCCAGTCTATGACTGCAGAATGTAAAGTATGTAAAGTATCGCTAACAATTCCTACTTCATATGTCCTTTATCATTTTAGCATAAACATAACCCTTTGAAACTAGAAATCATGTACAGGTAGTCCTTGACTTATGATCACAATAGGGACCATAATTTTCATCGTTAAGAGGTGTGATTGTTAAAGGAGGCATCATGTGGCTGCACCCAATTTTGCAACCATTTTTTGCCCGTCATTGAGCAAATAACTCACGATTGTTGAGTAACCATGACTTGTGACCTCCTGCTTTTTGGAATGCTGGGAAGGTTGTGAATGGTGACCAAATGATTGCAGGACACTCATAAGTGTGAGCTGGTTGCCAAGCACCCAGATTGCAATTATGTGGTCGCAGGGACATTGTGATAAACATAAGTGCGGGGACTAATTGTAAGTCATTTTTTTCAGCACTATCATAACTTCAAACAGTCACTAAGTAAAGGGTCTTTAAGCAAGGTCCACCTGTATTGTTTGACTGCCATCTTTAAGAGCACTATCTATAATTTCAAAGTTATCCACCTCGGTGTTGTGCTCAGTCAAAAAATCTTCCACACACATTTCAGAATGATGTGTTGATAATTGCATCATAGCACACAAAGCTTGATTCTGGCCAAGCACTAAAACTCAAAGATTGTATTAAGCGCTTCTAGAAAAAAAGGAAACTTGGCAGAAAATGCAATGATAAATTATTACTAAATTTTGGCAATTTACTGTAACAAACTCTGCTGGCTTTATCCTCCTGGCCGGCTTTTGCAATAGTACGCTCTCAACAATGCCCTTCAGTCTTTAAAGCAGCAAGAATCCAAGTACTCACTCTGTTGTTCTCGTCCTGTACCTTTGTCTTTTGCAGATACATGAACAATTCCGTTTGCATCGATGTCAAATGTTACCTCAATCTGGGGCACTCCCCTTGGTGCTGGTGGAATCCCAACCTGGAATCACAAGATACATCGCTGTTGACTTAGAGAAGACCCATCGGTGTAACCCAAGCAAACTAGAGTGAAGTTGCTGGTATGACCTATTATTCACTAAAGCAAAAGATTCATGCAATCTGAAGAGAAATCACAGTAACCTAAAACAAAAGTTATCTTTACTCACTACATATTTCTTTACAATTCTAATATTTGTGCTCAGGAAATTTTTTACTATAGATGCCTTCCTAGCATAAGATTCCATAATTTATATTAGAAAAATGTTATCAGAAAAGCATCATGGGGTGTATACATTCTATAACAGTTAAAGAGGGTTTTTTTTCTTTAACCAAATTAATGTTATGGCAATCTGTTTCTATACTTATCTGCCAAACCTAATAATCTAAAGAAATTTAAAGGAAGAATTTTCATCAAATATATTGTCCTGTTCTAGGGAAGTTTGTATTTTAATAGGAAAAGTAAAAATTACTTTCCTTTCATTCACGTCTATTATTTTAGATTAAAAAATACATTCAGGAGAATTCCAACGTACCAAAGTAAACTGGCCAAGTAGTTTATTGTCACCAGCCATTTCCCGTTCACCCTGATGAACTTTGATCTCTACTTGAGTCTGCCCATCAGCAGCTGTCGAAAATACCTGTGGAAGCAAAGCACATTTTACGCCATCAATGCTACCTAATACGATCATATAACTAAGTAACATGATAAGGTAATTTCCTGCAAGTAACAGAATGGAAACTCAGTGCCTGCTCCATGAACTATTAGAAAACACAGGAAATGCCAGAAAAACTTGAAGTTACAAGTGCCACACCATCCCCACAGACACACAATTGCATTTCAGGAGTTTGACAACCGGTTGCAGCATCCCAGTCATGTAATCATATTTTGCAACGTCTTTCTCATTTTGTGGCAAAAAAGTCCATTGGATAAATTAGATTTGGACTCACAACCATGTGGTTTTGCTTACTCTGTGATTCACTTAATGACCACAGTGACTCACTTAATGACTGTTGTAAAAACACTTGTAAAATCAAGTTTGGTCATGTGGCGATTCAACTAACAACCTGAACAATTTACAATCAAAATTCTGGACTCAATTATGGTTGTACATTTAAGACTATTTATAATGGCAGAACGGTTAGCGCAAGAGAGAATGGGGCAGCAATGACACAATTTAGATGAGTTTCAAATATTAAGAAACTTTTAAGAACACATCTTCTCACCTGGCTCTTCTTGGTTGGGATAGTTGTATTCCTATTAATAAGCTTAGTGAAAACTCCACCTAGAGTCTCAATTCCCAGGGAAAGTGGGGTGACATCCAACAAAAGCACATCAGTGACATCTCCAGCCAACACTCCTCCTTGGATGGCAGCACCCATAGCAACAGCTTCATCAGGATTTACTGCTTTACTCGGAGAACGTCCAAACATATCTTGTACAGTCTGCTGTACCTGTATGGACACATTCATATTTATCAGCAATACTTTCAGAAAATGGTCACCGAGCACAGAATACGGCAGGTGGATTCAGCACTTGAAACAAGTAGGGAATTTGGAAACTCAGATATAAAAGCATGCAAAACCATTGTTAATATCCTACAGGAGTGTTCCATTTGCCCTGTCACAGGCTAGATGTGGAACGTTTACTCTTGGACTTTGCAGTAAGCTATGCCCAGAATAACACTAGTCCGGTCCACAGAATTAATCCACATGAAAAAAGCATAATAGATGGCTATTTGTAAGAAGCTGCAAGAAGCTGCTACATTCGTTCGGTGAAATTACTGCTCCTTCCCACAAACCCAAGAAATAGTCCACCCCTTCAAGCTGAAAATCCCTTTCAATGCTTTAAATATCTTCCAGAATTTACACACTAAATAGAGTGCTGATATACTGGCAAAAAATCCCACAAAAATTTAAAAGTTCTCTGAAGAAAGTACAGGTAGTCCTCAAGATACAGCCGTAATGAAACCTACCCATTATAGATGCATGTTATGACAGTCGTTAGGCAAAGCATCTCAACTTACCACCCCCCTCCCGTCACTGCTTTCCCCAATGAATTGCTAAACAAATGTCCAGGTTGTTAAGTGGAGAAAAGGGTGCCTTAGTGATGGAGGAGGCTCTTGGGAGCCTAGCACAGGCCCAGGCCTGCCAGCCCTGGCCCTGCCTCACCCTGTAAGATGCCCTGTGCTCCGCTTCCCACCCCCTTGGCTCCCCACAGGCCTTTTCCCACTCCCACTGGTTTCCCACCCTACCAGGCCAAAGACTCTCCTCCTCACTTACCTTTAAAAGAGCTATGAGGCCTTCCAGAGCACTGGAATGGATTGCTTTTTTATGTGGCTGCATGGTATGATTCTGTAAGCAGCCATTTTGTCATACCCACAAAATGGCCACTGCATCTGGGTTGCTGTCAGGTAGCCTAGGGACAAACTGCTTACTTTTGCCGCCTTACTGAGATGTGCAGTCCTGCGGAAACTTGCTACAGCGCTTAGCAGACCCTGTTAAGCCAGCAAAATGAAGCAATTTGTCTGGAAGTTGTCTGTCTGTTGGAACTTTGAACATTTGAACATTAACTGACCTGTTGTATCTTGAGGACTATCTGTAAACTCATTATCAAAGCTATCAAATTTAGAAAGGATAACTGCAATTCTGCAAAAACAGCAGAATACTGCCTATAAAGGGTTAAGGTTAGTTCTACACAGCCATCTCTACTGATTAACACATCTGTATTTTTGTGGTTTTATTTTTTAAGCAAGCAAAGCATAGTCCAAAGGGCACTTGGCCAAACTGCAATGACAGGATCTTCAAGTACATCAAGTCAAAGGGGAATTATTGTACCTTTGGCATTCTAGTCATGCCACCAACCAAGATAACTTCTCCAATGTCACTCTTGCTAACTTCAGCATCTTGCATGGCTTTCTGGCAAGGCGCTATTGTCCTTTTAATCAGATCTGCCACAATCCCCTCAAACTGAGACCGAGACAGCTTCATATTCAAATGTTTTGGTCCTGAGGCATCCATTGTAAGGTATGGCAAGTTAATGTCGGTCTGCAATACAAGATTAGCAATTGTTAGAAATAAGCCAGAACTAGATGGCTATCAATTTTTTCCAGAACTCAAAATCACAGCATTTATTAGTGGAAAACCACAATACCATCTCACCCATGACCGCCATCAGTATTTCAGTTTTCCTTTGAGTACAAGATAGCGAGTATCTAAAACCATGAGGGGTTACCTTTTCTGCCATGTATCTCCAAACAGTATTTTACTAACTTTGAAGATTTGTATTTTTTCTACAGTATTACAACGGACACGACTCAAAAACAATCAGTGCAGTGGTTGATATATAATTAAAATGGAATCAATTTTAATGAATAAGTGGGAAATTGCAGGCTTTTCTATTAAAAAGTTGCAATCTCAAAGTATCGATTGGGTCCAGGTATAGCACTGAGATATCATCAGGAAAACCCTGTAGGATTATGGACAGAATCTGCACATGTTCCAAGGGAACATTTCCATTTTCACTTTTAAGCTTTGCATTATTGACCTCTATACCCAAACACATTCATTTCTTTGGGAGGAGTGATAGTCATGTGGAAAAGTAAGTACACCCTCTTTGAGTTCTATGGTTTTACATATCAGGACGCAATAAAAATCATCTGGTCCCTAGCAGTTCTTAAAAGTAGGGAAATACCTCAGATGAACAACAATACATGACACATTACACACAGACACGATCCAATAACGTAATATTCATTAATTACTACATAATAATTTTTTAAATATTAGAAACTATTAAGGCAGAACTAAAACAAAGAAAATGGAGGGATGTTAATAATAATAGAACCACCTCACAAGTGGTTCCCATCCCTTGCAAGGCCTACTGATATAACCAGGTCTTGAGAGACTTTTTAAAGTTCTGGAGTGATGAGGGGAAGAAGATTTCACAATGTGGGTGGCCACAGCATAAAAGGCCCACCACTGAGGATCCACCAAATGTAGCTCATTTTCAGTTTCCTCACCTGGACTGAAGAAGAAAGTTCACATTTTGCTTTCTCGGAAGCTTCCCTCACTCTTTGCAGAGCCATATTGTCTTTAGTCAGATCAACCCCCATCTAAAAAGAAAAGGACAAATGTTGATGTTCACTGTCTTCTACGTAGTCTCGATTAAACATTAAATAAATCTGATCATTAGAATAAAAGCTTAATACAGATAATCCACAACTGGTCACACAATCAACGTTCAAATTGATTCTTCTTGCATTCTAAGGAAGACAGGTAACATCAATCCTTAACACTATGTAGCCCATTGTTGATGTAACATGGAAGGTTTTGTCTTATTAGGACAGATGCTAGAAATCTTTTAATAATTCACATTTGAAAAGTATTTGGGCCTTACTCTGCTCCTAATCCCATACTATGGTTCCCACTAGTTATATACATTCCCACTCAGAAATGCTAGATAACCATTTTCAGTTCTATTCTACTTGCATTCTAATTATTAAATTGTGAGCATACAAACTAGATTCAGAATGATCACAATTGAGAGAAGGTGGAAGAAAATTTATCCTTGCTACTGTATTAATAATAGTATGTACTGGATATTTTGAAAAATAAATGCTTTCGTTTATATAAATTGATAAAAGTCAAAATGCAACTGCCTTA